CGGAGAGGAAAGATGAGAGAAGGAAGCCTGGAGGCAGTGGCACAGGGGATGGCAGGAGGTTCATTGGCCAAAGCCACCAAGTGCTTTGCGCGCAGTTGGTTGGGGAAGGGATTGCACCGACCGAGGCGTTGAATCAGCAGATGCGCTCAAATGCCAGAGCCAGAGATGGAAAGGTGGGGCTAGAAAGGGATGTTTGGGGGGAAGGGCAAGAAGGGGGGTGGCTTAGCCACCCATACGTGTAGCGCCCACAGCCAGGGAAGCCTCAGGCTTTCTGGGGGACCTATGCCCTTGTCCTCTCCTTGCTCATAGAGATGCTGCATGTGCCCCATCATCCCTCTTCCCCTTTGCCCTTGAACTTCCCCTCCCTCGCACTCCCTCCTCGCGTTGCCCGTCAGGCTCCCCCAGCCCAATCAATGCTAGCTCACAGACCTCTCATTCCCCCTTTTTATGTGAAGCCATTCACAGGGTCATCCTGACTTCCTTGTTCTTGTTAGAGAATTCCTCCGTAGGCATTCAGATGCTGCATGACAATTGACAATATCTCACGCCACGCAAATGACCTGGTCTTCAATGCAACCTACCCGCACAGGGGGATGTTCCGGTTTTACAGTTAGTGTGCATACGGAGCAGAACAATTTAAAATAAAGAATCGGAGGGCTACATATTATAATTTGTCATTGTTAAAGAATGAAAGCGATTGGATAAGTAGACAGGACAAATACGTGCAAGATAATATTGACAGCATGTTGGCTAATCAAACACCCAATCATCTTACCTGCCACGAGTGAGAATTTGGTTAAACATTTTGATGATGTACAGAATAGCTTGTGGAGGGATTCGTTCCCAGGTAATTGGCAGGAACTGCAGCTCATTAAATTAGCTCTCATCTGACATGCCAAATGATACTCACAGTTGATCCGTTAGATCATCAGCAAGCAATTGTTTATCTCTTCCATGAGCCAGGATGACAAATAAGCAATTTTAGCCAAAAGGGTTAAGGCCAGTGCCAATCATTATTCACACGGCAATTTAACTGATTCTGTAGCAATCAATACCATGCGTTCAAAATGCAATACAGCAGTTTCTTCCACATTGGGGGACCCTTTATGCGAATATTCTGCCAGAATACAAACAAACAAAATGCTAAATGAAGACGGTCCCAAATGTAGTATTTGTCATCTGATTTGAAGGGAGTGGGGTGATCAGCAAACCTAGAGGCATTCACATGGGGCAGTTGGGCAACACGGCAGGTACCTGAAGAGAGCTCCCACCCAGATTATTGGGGTAGCCGGTGAGAAATCATGAGAGATGGCCGGAGAAAAGTGTCAGAGGCTGGTTTAGTGCCCACACCAGGCTTATCGACCTCATCAGGAGACTTGAGATAATGGTGGATAAAACAGCTCTCGATGGCTACTTTTTGCTCTCCGTTTCCATTCACTGAAAATCAAGTGTCCACTTGAGATTAGCTGAGGAAGGGCTTCTGCATCACCGTGTCTTATTTGCCTATCACCATGGCTGGCCCTTGTCCCATAATAGATGCTATTTCCTTCTCTGACCCACCTTGTCTCATCTTGCCTAAATCCCCTGACATTGTGGCAAGATTCTAAATTGTTGGGACAGCATCTCCCCTCATGGAACAAATAGCCAAAATAGAGTAACAGGGAAAGCTACCACGAATGAGGAGTTTAAAATCTCAGAGCCGGAGCCCGGAAACTCAGCCATCACCCTGCCACTCGGCGAGATAGGCACCAAGTGGGGTAAAACCACTACGATGGCCCCATCTCCAATCTTGATTTCCCTCTCACTGGAACAGGCAGACTCATATCTGGTTTGTGAATTATGTGGGTGCTTTGCTTCTTCTTCTCACCTCGACTGGGAGTTGTGGTCACTTAGCCGTTCCACTCCTCATCTGGTATGAACGTTCAAGAAGCAGAAATTCAAGCCAATAACAGCCTCCTCAGATGTCGTCTGTGCTGATAAAATATACAGAAGAAAAGAGGATTGAAGCTGTTGCCTAACACGAGGCTTTAAGGTCATTTCACTATTCCCAACCCTTGTGTTTTCCTTGGCCTCCCAATCAAGCTAATCAAAATTTGGTCATAAATCTCCTTGGTTAAGAGCCCTCTTTATGATATGTTCCAGTAATCATTGTGCTAATCAAAAGCCCTGAGGAAACATGGTACGATAGGTCTTTAAAGCAATATATGTAATTAATGTGGTCATAATATTTATAATCTATATTCATAATTAAAATAATAAATACGATACACAAAGCTCTTTCTCTGGGGTCTTGTCAGATACTCAGTGACAAAGGCCTGAACTGAGTTGGTGGTAATTCAGTGCTAGGAAAAAGCATGGGGTCTGGCCAGATTCTCATCGTGGGGAGAAGTTAGAGTGAGAAGGGAGAAAAGTCGAGAATCGGTCCCAAGTCTCTGGCCTGGATTACTTAATAGATGCACAGGTCAGGGAGAGAAGTTCAGCGCCTACTGAGTTTAAGATGCCTTTCGGGTGGAGAGATCCAATAACCAGTTCAACACTTGGGCCTAGAGTTCAAGAGAGATTCGAGTTGGAGGGACAGACTTGGAAGCCGACAGCACATGGTTAATGCCGGAGCCATTACCAGCGAGTGAGGCCTTGGGGGAGCATGTAAAGATAAAACGGCCAAAAGCAAACCTCTAGGAGTACTACATTTAAGGAGCCAGCCAGGGAAAAGCAGTCATCCAAAGGAGGCTGAAATGGGATGAGAGACTAGTGCTGGGGAAACCTCCAGAGTCATCCAGAATGGGTTCACAACTTTCTGCAAAAAAAAAAGTATCAGGCCCCCTACCATTAATGAATATACCTCAATATGCAACATAATCAGGCCTTAGCTATTCCATCCCCACCAACACCACCCTTTCTGCTCCTCCCTCTGTAAAAAAAAAAAAAAAAAGGCGGTTCAAAAATGGATAATCATAGTCTTATGTTTCCATGAGTCAAATAAGAAGAATAAAAAAGAAAAAGTTCTGGGGCGCCTGGGTGGCTCAGTCAGTTAAGCGTCCAACTTTTGATTTCAACTCAGGTCATGATCTCACAGTTCCCGGGATGCAGACCTGTGTGGGGCTCTGCCCTGACAGCCCGCAGCCTGCTTGGGATTCTCTCTGTCTCCCTCTCGCTCTCTCTGCCCCTCCCCCCCTTGCGCACTCTCTTTCGCTCTGTCGAACTAAATACACTTTTTAAAAAATTCCACTGACTCTGGAAAAATGGAAACTATTGAAAAATTCAAAGCATTAATTTCCAGGAACTAATGAAGGCAAAAGTCACTTGCAACAGGCTGGGAGATTAGAAAGAGGAGAGGGGGAGAAAGCAGAGGGGAGGTTTTTGCTGTTCGTTTCTGTTTTTCGGGTCAGAGACCTAAGCATGGTTATAGTCTGTAGGGAAGATGCCGGTGGGGGCGGGGCCCCCCCGGTGTCCTTTTAGAAATAAAGGACAGAGAGATAGATGAGAAAACGAGAGAGAGGTAATAGATGATAGATAGATGATGATGATTATGATGATAGATGATTGATAGATAGATGATAGATAATAGATAGATAGATAATAGATAGATGATAGATAGATAGATACATAGATAGATACATAGATAGATAGGTACATAGATAGATACATAGATAGATAGATAGATAGAGATTTAAAAAGAAACAATGGAAGGGGAGCAAAAGCCAGGGATTAGCCTTGGAAGGGAAAAGAGCTCCCACATCATGAGCAGCTCCAGGCAAGTAAATATGATTGATAGAACCATAGAGCGATAGGAGAGGAGTTATCCATGCTGCGAGGACTGAGAAAGAGAGAGTGGATCTGGGAGGATGCAAATATTGCCTCATGGTTCAAAGGGGCCTAGTCCTGCGGGACATCGTACATTTACGGTGACACCAATTCAGGCAACTCCATGAGTACAGCAGTCTGGGATGCGGGAGCAGGGATGACACATGGCCAGCTTGAGCCACACCGGGGGTTCACAAAGCATAGTTTGAAAAAGAACGTGGAAGCACGAACAGAGAGAATATTAGGAGAGAAGGGAGCAATCTAACAAGCAGCACTGCTGCCATTCTTGCCACCGCTGTTTCTGCTTTGCACCGGACACATCCACGCAAGCTAGAACTCCAACAAGCTCCCTTTCTCTGCAAGCCGCTGCCCGTGCTGCTTGCCTCCTCTGATCCCTTCTCTCCACATTCCCTGTCTACATGCCATCAACCCTCCTCTGTGTTCCAGCAGTGACGGGGATTCTATGAACCACCCTGGCTTTTTGTACCAGGCTAAGTCTCCCCCACTGTGTAGAAATCATTGGCTAGAACACTTCCTGCGTCGCGCAACCCAGCATCTGTCCGGCCGCAGCCGCCTGGGTGTTGCTGTTGAGCTGTTTCAATCCCACCCCGTGTGGACCAGGCGTACAAATGGGAGGAGACCATCCACGGAACCCTTAACAAATGTCTAATGGGTGCTCAACCTTGTGCCAACTGTGGGATTAGCAAGGGAGCCTCCAGGGACCGATTATTTCCTCCTAGGCTTGGCCATAATCCAGCCTCTACCTGATTCTCTGCTCACCCAGCAACCTTTGAATACAAATTCAGTTTCTCGCCTATCTTAATAATAAGAAACGAGGGCCCTGGATAATGGACACAAAATCAGCCACTTGAAGGGCAGCCCCCATTGTGCAATAAAAAATTGGCATTCTGGTTTATACGTAATTTTTTATTTATTTTTTTTTTTAAATTTTTTTTTCAACGTTTATTTATTTTTGGGACAGAGAGAGACAGAGCATGAACAGGGGAGGGGCAGAGAGAGGGAGACATAGAATCGGAAACAGGCTCCAGGCTCTGAGCCATCAGCCCAGAGCCCGACGCGGGGCTCGAACTCACGGACCGCGAGATCGTGACCTGGCTGAAGTCGGACGCTTAACCGACTGCGCCACCCAGGCGCCCCTATACGTAATTTTTTAAGCATAGCATCACAACCATTTATGAAAGCTACTACGTGACACAGGATATCTGTTCTCTCCCCACCTTTCTCCCACAGTTGAACATTCGGGGGCCCAGCGTCCTGAGCACAGATTGGAGACCGATATTCCAAAGCTCTGGCACAGGAATGAGACACCCCTTGTCCAAAGACTGTGTGCATGGAAATGGTTTGAGGAGGTAATAAGGAAGAGAATGTACTCTAAAAAAAAAAAAAAATATCTCAGGGACAGAGCATATGAAAACCCCAAGGACAACATCCAATGAATGTCTATACTGAGGCAGAGGGAAAAAAATCAGGTATGAAGTAAAAGAGGCAGAACACAGGCAACCTAGACAGGAGACCAGGAAAGAGACAAAACCTAACACAGAGCCCAGAGCCAATGAGAAAACAGCTTCTGGACCTTTCCTTTCAGTCCGTTACCTGTAGTTGGGGTCGTGGGGGCAAGGGTCATGTAACGCAAGGATGTAGCCTAGTTATCAGATGCTTTAGGTATGTATCTTATCTCCAATTTTTGCAACCTTAAAAGGTAAAAACAACAACAGCCTCTTACCTATCTCCGTTGTAGAAATGACAAAATTGAAACTAAGTACTTAAGTAAGTGACAGAGCCATGATTCATATTCCCATCCTCTGTCTGCTTTAATACTGCACTCTAACCACATTGCCAAGCTGCCTATGGCTTCTTTAAAGTACCTCTGTCCTCCACAGCCTGAAAAATTCTCTATAGACTGAAACCTGTCTGCGTCTCTGTGAACCTGAAAAGTTGAGGCCAATACCCTGGACGGCTGTGATTCCACCCAGATGCTCTCTCCCTATGAGGCATAGCCACACGAGGACATCTCTGCCATCAAGCGACCCCCAGCGGCTTTTCTAGGTACGTCACCATGTTTTCTCTGACTACCACAAAATGCGGAAAACTCTGGCCTAGGATAACATATAAATGAATTCAAAACCACGAGAGCTCATTCAAACCATTGACTTTAATTGGATCCGTGATATTGGCTGCTTCCCTAATTCTTAGCTCTTCGATATGTGACCAATAAGGTATAAATGAATCAATATCAATACATCCCCAATAGTAGAAAATAAATCAGGAGAGATGCCAAATAAGCCGTCGTAGATATAATCATCTTTTTATATAGTACAATACATTATTATCATCATGTATTATCACTATTATTATTATGCATTACTGTCTAATGCATTAGGGTGGAAAGAATCATCGAATCTCGTTGGGAAGTATACTGGCAAAAATCAAAAACGAAATCTTCGTCTTTCCTTGGTATTAACTAACAACTAATTTTGCTAAAGATCCTGGCTTTTCAATGGAAAAAAAAATTAGTCTGTGCAAGTTATTCTAATAAAAAAAAATTATGAAGTTTAGGGATAGTTCTGCAATTGTAAACCAACAGTCAATGTTGTATGTAATTGTGAAACATTAGAGCATTTTTCTTATTGACAATGGACAGAAGAGAACCATTTAGAGTTTTTAAGAAGTGTGATGTAGAGGGGCGGCTGGGTGGCTCAGTCCCGTGAGCGACCAACTTTGGCTCAGGTCATGATCTCCCAGTTTGTGAGTTCGAGCCCCGCGGCAGGCTCTGGGCTGACAGCTCAGAGCCTGGAGCCTGTTTCCGATTCTGTGTCTCCCTCTCTCTCTGCCCCTCCCCCGTTCATGCTCTGTCTCTCTCTGTCCCAAAAATAAATAAACGTTGAAAAAAAAACTTTAAAAGACATTGTTACACTTGAAACCAAGGAAATATCTCCATGGATGAGAAACAAGAGGCAAAAACTAAACTCATGAAGGGGTGTGAACCCTGAAGGGTTCCCAGCCACAGAAGAAAACCAGGACTGGGATGGGGCTGCCAGGCCCAAGAATGCAGCCGGAAGCCCTGGGACGAGACGGGCAAGATCTCAGAGCAACATCAGTAAGCTGCTCACACAATGTGAGACCTGGTTCTGGGCTAGTCTCCAGGAGACAGCTACGGAATCATTTAATAAGAAAGGATGAGCTCAGGAAGAAAACAGACACAACTAAAATCCAGAAATTTCCACCCAAAAGGGGTTCGCAAAGGAAAATTTCAAAGCACATAAGGAAACTTCGCCCCCTCCAAAACAGCCAACGCGCTCAAAGCGCAAAAGAATTATTCACTTTTATTTTGGAAATGGAAACAAGGGACTAGTTGTAAAGAACATTTAAGATCCTCAGGAATGTTTTATTTTGGAACAGTGGGACGTTATGAGAACAAGGAGCTCTCCTTCAAGCGCAGGAATATTTCTCAAAGATTTAGAAATCCCAAAAATGAATACAGTTGTTGCAACTTTACACAAGTCCTCAGCAGATGGGTAAATTTAACTGGTCATCGTTAAAACCGGAACTGGTGCATTTGTCTGGAAAACTAGCGCAGCAAATGAGGCTGAAGTTTGACAAATGCCCGAAGCCGGGTGATGGCGACAGAAATGCAAAAACCAAAAAAACGTTCTGGAAACAGAAATAGATAGGCTACCTTGCTGTGAGGTGGTGTTCGCCAAGATCTAACTGTCTCCCCACCGAAATAGCCAAAGGTCAGCTGGGATGATGACCATTTGAAATGCTTCTACTTGTGGGGCTCCGTCAATGCCACTGGAATACAGAAGAGGGGTGAAGAGTCAAGGATTAGGTCCTCAGTTCTGTCCATCACCCACCAACCAAAATAAAGTAAGTTTCCAGTACAATTCTTCATCATTCATGTCTGTAACGATAAGAAATCTTTATTTAAGGAGCAAGGGAGTTCATCAGAATTCTCCTGATTATCTCATCGTTTGCCCCGTAAGTCTGGTTGAATAAATTTGCAAATAAATCGTTTGTCATAAAATATTTATTATATATTTCTACATGTACCCTATATTATGTATTTAGTCCATAGATATTACCCTAGCATTTTCTCTTATAAAAATTTCTTAAATAGCCTCCGTTATGTCAATAAAGTGATTACAGAAAGATGCACGTTGAGACTATAAAAATCCCTTTGAAAAGACTAACAAAATTGCAGTTTATTTGGAAGGCGAAATTTTTAAGTAAGGTTGTGATGGAGAAAATAAGTGTATTTGTGTTAAAACAAAATTGAAAAACACCTTGAATGGCCTTGAAAAAATAATTTATAGTATTTATGTTAAAACAGAATTTTAAAACGTGGTTGAATTGCCTTGAAAAAAATAATATAACACATGATCTTAAAGAGAAACATTTTTCCAGCTCTACCATTAAACGTGTCCAAGAGGAGCAGCAGTGTTTTTGCCGGCCACCAACTCAACCTTATGGATGGCTGGGGTACTCAGACTTTGGTCTCTAATATTTTTCTTTACTACAGAGAATCAAAGCGCCTTTCGAGGTGGTGATTCTGTATCCCGAGGCAGAAGAAAATAAGGACAGGCTTGGAGCATCCTGTTGCTGCCAGTGAGTAGTTGGGGACGTTCCCAAGGGCATTGGTGCTGAAAAGATAGAAGGGATAGTCTTCAAAGGCCCCCCTAGGGCCATCACTGGGTGAACAGTCTGAGACGAGGGCCGACAGAGAGAGCAGGAGCCCAGGAGTCAGATGGCCGACACTGAACAGGGGACTCTTTGGGAGCAGGTGTCTGTCCGGCCTCCCAAAGAACTCATGAAAGCATCCCATACCACCTGCACAACAGGGCCAGCATTTGGATGGCTGGTCAATCAGAGAAAGAGGAAGACGGGATCAGTCTTGAGAAGTGCGTGGATGCAAACAGCAACTACCACCACAAAGATTCTGAGCCCTGGAGGCACAAGGAAATGGTTTGATTCTCCTGTTCCTCCTTGCCCCTGCGCCCGAGTAGTAAATACAGAGAAGAGAAAGAGGTGTACGAAGGAGCAAATTGTATCACGCGCGCGCACACACACACACACACACACACCAAGCTGTTGGAGTCCCAAGGCTAATCTGTACTGAAGGAAGATGAATGCTTTAGATCAAATAAGAGATTAAAGTTTTTAACGAAAAGGGACCAAATTTTAATAACCGAAATGAGTCTCTTTTATAATTAAAAGTGACTGAGAAGGTTGAGAATCAGTGGGAGCTGTTATCAAGGCAGCTCACCATGCAGGAAATAGAAAGATAAAGCCCAGGATAGTAGGGATTAGAGTACAGAGCCCTGTGATAGCAGTCTGTATCCCAACAAATTGAAATTCTTCAGTCATGCCACTTTAAGTATGATGCGTCATTTGAACACTAAGAAAGTGTTAAGTCAAAGACATTTGCCTCCAATCACAAAAAAAAATCTTCGGACAACCCATAAAGCATAACCCATTATTGAATAGCCTCCTATATTTAATGGTCATTTTTAGACAGGTTTTTTTTTTTTTTTAATAATTAAAGAGGCTAATTGTGTCTGCTTTCCTGTGCCGTTTGAGGTAGGTTGCTTACTAGAAACTGCAATATTTTAAAAATACATGCAAAATACCTTCATCTATAGTTAAGATAATAGGTAGAAATTAAAATGTACACACACATATGTAGCTTGTAGAATGTATCCCTAAAACTATCAGCCATCTTCCTACACACAGGTGTCAACACACTCCATCCTCCCACCCCCAACCTCAAGATGGTCTCAAGTCCAATAAGTTGTCTTAGAATATTGTCTTAGACGTGTCCAGTTCGGCTCAGCGCCCTGCTGGTCCATTCCCTTTTACGAACAACGTGCTGATCCTCCTTTACCTGTGCTCCTTTGACGGTAGAATGTGGATAACAGCGCCCTAGCTCTATTTTAACATCAATTGTAATATTGTGATTTTGCTTTTGTTGCTTCCTTCCAAGGCATTTTGAGCCTTGATAAATCGTAATTGATAGACATTAACTTCACACAACTAATGCAGACTTGCTTACTTAGAATTTTTCTACTAACCACAGATTCACTTGGGAAGCTCTTTGGAAATATATTTTAATTTATTAAAATATACCCTGCTGTACTGGCAGCAGGGTAGATGCTTGAACTTTACAAATATAAGTGCATCCTTTAATTATGAGAAATTATTACGGGTTTCATATATCGGATATATAATTAATAGGTGCGTTTAAAATACTCTGTTTACAAAAAGCTTAATGCCCTGAGGGAATAGGAGGTAAATGATTGAGCTTGGCAGGAAAACTTGAAAAAGAACGAAGGCTCCTGATTCATGTGGCTCCCTCTATTCTGTTAGAATGGCTAGCCACACGGAGAGTCTGGTTTGATTTTTAAGTCCCTCCTGTATAACGTGGAAGCCTGAGCAAGTCTCACACCGACCTCAAGCTTCGGTATCATCATCAGTAAAAGTAGCCTATTTCACAGTGCTTTTCTAAGGATCAAAGAAGTGACGGTGTTCCAGAATTATAAGAGATTATTATCATCATAATCACTGTATATAACATATTCTTCCCTCCAATTTCTTAGCTACCGGAAGGTCTCTCGAAAGAAACTTCAATCCGGAAAACTGTTGTCACCACTTATTATACACTATGCGCCAGGTATTGTGCTAAATGCGCCATCTCGTTGGTTCCCTCCACACCAGTGTTATCCCCATTTTATAGCTGAAGAAACCAAGTTCCAGAAAGGGAAGTAACTTGTTTACAGTCACACAGCTGGTGCTCTATGGAGTGGGGATCGTGCTGGTATCCGTGTCCTCCGGAGCTGATGCCCTAAACCATCTAAATGTCCCGGGGTGACGCCCTCCTAACATTGACCAGCCCCACTCAGCATATGCACACTCCTCGTTCATGATTAAGACCAAACTACTCAGGGAATTCTAAACCTAGAAAGGGTACAATCTATTCAGGGCAGAGTCAATCCCCTTGCTAGGCTACTTACCCCCAGCAGTGAACGTGGTGGGCTGGAAGGAGTCACCATCCCACTAGCTAGACTCTGAGCTTTGGGGTGGGCAGGGGGACGTCTCCCTCTTGTTCACCACACAATCCCCCCGCGGATGGCAACGTCCTTTTGGTAAATATTTCATGTTATTGCCAAATTCCTGAAAAGCATGCGCCGGCGGAGAAAAATTCTGGTCTGACTACTCTTCACATTACTAACAGAAGAAGTCAAGTCTGGAAGACGAGACAGAACAAAATGGACTGGGTTGCCTGCGAGCTCAGGAGCCTTAGAATGGAGGCCTTCCCACAGCTCTTTGGTCCCAGCAGCCTGTGTTTTACGGATGAAGACACGCCAGGGGGATGGAATCAATGAAGGGCCCCTTCCTCTGGGAGGCAAGGATATGAGCAAGAGAGGGGGGAATGAGAGAAGCCATTTCTCTTCCGTGTCCTAAGTGACCAGTGCAGCAAAAGACTCTGTGTCATGGGACACGCTGGGGGAAAACATTGATTGCAGAACCCAGATGCCAAAGTGAAGAAGAAATAGAGCCCTTCCAGCAGCCGCATCTGGCTTTTTGGCAAGCTTTCCACACTGTGGCACCGACTCTCCCTGCACCTGCTCCTTAATTGTTTCACTGGTTACCGGTGAGCTAAGTTTTACCCACCTTGACCACGAACTGCTCAGGACTTGGATACATGTGCCACCGTTATGTCTGTTTTCAAGCTGCCGTGAACCTTTCCATAGAAATCAACATCAAAAAAAAAAAAAAAAAAAAAAAAAAAAACCTTTTCGCTGTAGGAGTTAAAAAAAAAAAAAAAAGGAAAAAGGAATTCTCTATTCTGGACCACTGGCAGCTAAGTACCCTGATCACGTACACATATAATGATTTTGAAAATCGAGATAAAACTCTATCCGGTCCGAAAGCAAGCACTCTCTTCCTGTAAATGAGCACAGGGTTCAAATGGTTAATCCAGTGGCTGTACAGTTAGGTAGGCCCTTAGGAAATTTAGTCTACGAGGAGTCTTCGTTAAAACCCTCACCTTTAGCAGAGCTTTTCCGCACATCAGAAAAGTGAGATATGTTTCGTGGCTTTCCCTCTACACATTTTTACGCTACACCTTTCAGCAAAAGCTTTTACAATGATATTAAACATTAACTCTGTATGGGTTAATCCCAAGACACAGCATCAGCCTTAAGGTTAATAGTCCTTTTAATTAAAGGATAAGTCAGTTATTGAACACAGAAGCTAATCACAAAAGGATTACCACTGAAAATGAACATAGTCTGTGCAATTAGTCTGATAATTAAGACTTAAGTACTGGACAGAGATCAAAGTGCTTGTAATATGCAATAAAGTTCCTAGAGTTGTAAGGATATTCAAAATGTTAGCTTGTGCTTTATTGCACCTTCCATTCATCGTGTACCCATGATAGCAGCAAACACATTTCCCCGATGGATGTCAGCATGGGTAGCTACAACAGCTGTTACTACATAAGCCTGGTGTTTCTCACAATATGATTACTCTGTCAACGACGGCTGTAAAAGGTGGCATCTGCATTCATCAAACAGAGTTATCAATAAATGTAAAACCATACAACAATTAGAGATCTCAAAGGAAGAACAAATCCAACTAGAAAAAAAATGTCAACCACACTCTTTAATTACGAAGATTGTTAATCAATAAAATGCCTTCATAACTTTTAATTAAAATTTTATTTGAGCTGGATGTTTGGAGAATCTGATTCTTTGTTTTCATTACATTTAACAGTTGCGCTACAAAAATCCTGGTGGCATCTGTGAGCGGCCATCCCCTGGGGGACACTTTGTATCTGTAATTGCATATCGTCACCTACAGAGGGTGTTAAGAATCCTTGTTAAAAATAAAGGAAATAGTTAGGAGACATCTCACAGTAGCCATTATTAATGGAGCAAATTACTAGGTAGAGCAATCCAGAAGCTGTCAAGAAAGGTTAGCAAACAGGGGTGTGAGGAAATCAACCATTCGGCAATGCATCATGAACCGAAAACTAGGTCTGAAGTCAGACCAAAGCAAAAAAGGTCCCGGTTTTAGGAAGTAAAGACATTGCCTTTGTTTATAACAATGAATAAAGATTATAAGAGGCTACTGATGAAGGATGAAAAGATGAGATGATAAAAATCGAGTGCTTTGATCACACGGGTACTCAGGCAAGATATAAATGAGAACAACAAGTTAGAATTCCAAAGCTTTGTGCTGTATACATTATGTTTAACTTTAATTTGTGTTCCTAAGAGTGTGTGTAATTTATATATCCCCGAGTGTTGACTGGTGAATTCCCATATCTTCGCGTCAGTCTCTTCAACCTGCACATAGGCCTCGCTGTTAACAATTCTAAATGGTCTCTTTTTTTATTTCTAGAAAAAGAAAATGGGTCTTGAATTTTTTTCTCAGTTGAGTTTCCACGTGACTTGGATTTCACTGGGCTCTCAATTCCAGCCTACATAAATAAATGAGAGGGCCTGTTGCTCATTTCATTGCTGAAATAATTAGCCGTCTCTCCTTTCACACTTTTGAGTGCTGATGAGATATAGAATTCGGTGCTCAGGGCTTTACTCCTGGGCTTCCCTTTCCTCAGCCTCAGCTTGGTTTCCTGGATTCCCATCTGAGTAGGAATGATTGTGAACTATAGCCAGTCAATACACCCAGTGCTCTACAGGCCGCCATCTCTCCGATTCAGAGCTCAAAGCAGATAGACTGCAACCTCTGTAGGCGCCAAGGGAAGGCTGCCCCAAGATGGGTCACCTTGCCCAGAAGATTATTTTGAGTTAAAAGCCCTCAAAACCCAGCAGGTTTAGGAAAAGCTCTTTACTTCCCCCTCACCTGCCTAAACACACATGAGAAAAGAGCCTGTACCAAGAAGAGAGCTCTTAGAAGCGATTCCATTTTACCTAAGAAACCTTTGTTTTCCAAACACCGCCTCTCACCTTCCTGTTAATGGCCTCCCTCCCCTTTATATCCCCACCCCTAGCTTTCTCCTTAGTTCAGGATGCTCTATATACCTCATTTTGCCTATCTTTGGAGATTCATTTCTGTACAGATTTCCCGTACACCTGAAATTAAATTTTATTTTCTCCTGTCAGTCTATCTCATGTAAATGTAATTCTTAAGCCAGATAGAAGAGTCTTGGACAGAGAAAATTTTCTTCCTCTCCAACCTCCATGTTTTTCTTCTCTCAGGAAATGTTAAAGGGCAACCATCAGAGCACCACTTGAAAGATCAGCCAAGGAGGGCTGTTTTTGACCAACAGGTCCCTGGCCCACCTTTGGTTCCAGCCAGTGAAAATCCACTGTAACTGAGGCACAGGGGTCCAAGAGCACCTGACTCCAGAGATCCCAACCAGATCAAATTCGGCCACTTGCTGCCGACAAAACTGAAAGGCAGAGAGATGAGTGGAGGTAAAACA